AGCCAGCACCCGCACCACGCTCGGGGCCCGCGGGGACAGAACGTGACGGCTGCCCTCGTGTCTGCTCTGCCCCACGGGCACCACTGTGCGGAGCCACCTACGTACGAGCACCTGCATCCCGCACTGCCCGCCCCACGGGTCACACAGCCCACGGGGTGTTACCAGGCACTGCGCTGTCCCACTGCCCACACCACCCTCAAAGTAATCAGCGGGCTGCAGCTGACCTGAAATGAGTCTGTGGGGGCTCAGGACACGTGGGCACAAAGCCCACGGTGACACTGCATCTCCCTGTGCCACGGAGAGGAGGTGGGAGCCCCAGAGCCCTCTCCTTGCATGGAGCCTGCTGCCGGGAAGGGGGCTGCAGCACCGAGCAGAGCAGCTCCCTGACCAGACCACGGAGCGCCTGCTGCTCATTAGCACTAATCGAGAGCGGCTTAATTGGCCAGGCCGTAGAGCGGCAGTGCCCTGGGGGCCGCTCAGCGTGAGCGRGGAGCCCAGTGAGCCCAGACGGGCAGTGTGGCTGAAGGGGGCAGCCGAGCACCCCGCTCCCCACGGCGGGGACCACGTGTCCTGCTCCTGCAGGCTGGCAGGGGCCTTCCTTGTCAGGACAGGCTTGGATACAATCCCACAGCTYCCAGTAGCAGGCAGAGCCAGTCGCCTGCAGCAAGAGGAGCATCCCCAGACCTGCAGGATGGACAGGAGGAAACACTCCCGTGGGAGCAGGAGAGTCCGTGCTCRTCCTCCTGCATACCCACGCAGCCAACGCGAGGGGCCCCGTGTCAAGCTCCCCGCAGCACGAGCTGACGGGACACGCACGGGAATGGGGAGCGCAGCAGCGCCAGGATCCAGCGGGATCCTGCAGCCAGCACAGCTGCCCGAGGCCACAGTGGGGAGAGCCTGAAACGGGGTGCAGCGCTGCCGGGGGCCGTGCCCAGCCTGGTGGGGCTGTCCCACCCCGAGAGGCAGCCRGGCAGGGGTCGGGGCTGCCCGAGCCTCCCGTTCGGAGGCTGAGTCACAGCCACCTCCCACRCGCGCTGCCCGGGCAGCACTGGGCTGGCAGCGCAGGGTGCCGGGCGGCAGGAACAGCAGCAGCAGCAGCAGGAGGAGAGTGCAGCCCAACAAGGCCACCGTGGCACCTCCGGCCTCACGCCACAGGCCTGCCCCGTGCTAATGAACACCGAGGAACAAGGCACCGATGGCTCCGGGGCTCGCGGGAGGCTGCACAGCCGGAATCCGGCCCGAGTCAAGCACCTACCTCAGTGYTGCAGACCCAGGGCCCTGGCCCGACGCATTTCCAGCCCCGGCTGACCGGGGCTGGTCGCTGCTCACTGAGGCAGCGATTCACACCTGGGTCCCGCCAGCCGCCGGCCTCTCCGGCCAGCCGGGCAAGGAAAGCCGGGGCTGAAGCCTGGCGGGTGAGGAGGAGCCCAGTGGGATGCAGCTTGGGAAAGGGATAAGGGGAGCTGGGGTGAGCGCCCGTTGCCGCCTGCAAACCCTGGCCAAAATTGCCTCTCATGAAACAGTCCCTCCGAGTGACCGCCACAGGGATCGGAGCTGTGACCTCCTGGCGGGGCAAGATCCTCACCCGCGGCTGCGCCGGGGAGGTTAAGCTAAGGCTTTAAAAGCAACAAAGTCCTAACGCACAAACACACACACCAACGGGGCCCGAGGCTCTCGGACAAGAAAAACTCGCCCCGGTGAGGCCAGACACCGGCGCGGCGGCGCCTGCCCGAGCCCGCGGGCACCGGGTCCCGGCCCTCGGCAGCCGCTCCGCGCTCCGGCGGCCACACAAGCTCCCCGAGGGCCGGAGCGGCTTCCAGCCTGCCCCGAGCTGCCCCGGGGCGGCCCCGAGGACAAGGATCCTCTCTGTTCAGCTCCGCAGCTCCCACGAGCCCAGGAAGGGCGCGAGCYGGGCAGAGTCTCGCTCTCAACAACGTCTTCCCCCGGCTTCCGCTGCAGATCCGGAGGGTCCGGCCGCTCCGCACACCCACTCGCTGCAGCCCAGGGGATGGGAGCGGTTGCTGCTGGAGGCCCCACTGCTCCCTCCTGCCCTGGCTCGTGGAAGCCGGGTCTCGGGGCTGCGGCCTGAGTGGGGAGCACACGGGGAACGCACAGGGAGCACACGGGGAACGCACAGGCGCTGCGGCAGGGCTGGCACCGCAGCGCCCGGGCACAGCGCCGCCACAGCAGCGCCGCTGCAGGGCACCGTGCCAGGCAGCCACCAAGGTGCCGCGGGCAGACGCAGCCGGGATGCAGATGGGAAGTGTCCTGGCGCTACCTGCTCTGCAGCGCCGTCTCCTTGCAAGAGRGCTGGACCCCAATCCCCCCACGTCTCCAGCCTTGGCAAGGGGCGCTGATTGCCCGGCTGCACCCACGCTCGCCCCACGCGCCCTGACTGGGGGTCAAACCTTGCAGGGTTGTCTCTTACCTCTTGGTTGTGGCTGCTCACAGCTGCCGTCGCCACATGCTGGGCCACTCCGCTTGCCTGCGGGGTCTCCAGGGTCAGCGCTGAGCGAGGAGCGCGGCCACCCCGCGCCAGGCGAGTGGCGTGCGCGGGGACATGGGGCCGGCGGCCCCAGCGCCACGGGGCTCTATGCAGCCGGGCTGCGCGGCGGCCTCGCGGGGCTGCGTGTCCCCAACCCGACAGCGGGGTGCCGGCTGCGCGGCGGCCTCGCGGGGCTG